TATTTTTAACCCTGGGATGAACAGCTGCAGGAAATGTGGGTGCTGATGTTCACTCCCACACCTCCTGACAGGCCACCTCCCCCCCCCCCGCCCCCAATGATGATCAACTGAAAACAAAGCTAGAAGTTATTTTCAATTTTTACTTGGGGTTAATTTTGTTTTGGAGAGAGGTTAGGGGTTCTTTTGCAGGTATTCAACATTCTTGAAGATGCCCAAGAGGGATTTTTGGCCAGTTCGGGTCATTTGTCTCCCCTTAGGAGGGGTTATAGGACAGAGGGAATTTCTTTAGAATTCAAGCAAGCATCAGTTGTACCTAGACCTGGTTTGTTCTAATCTGCCGAATGTGTAAACAGCACAGACTGGATTATTTATATGTTCATTTGATTTCTTTTCATTTGTATGCCGCCTTTCTCCTGGAGTGGGACTCTAGGCAGCTCACATAAAGAATCCATTAAAAACCTAACAATAAAATTTAAAAAAAATTAAAATCCATGACATCAACATAGTACAGAACCATTTAAAAGGCATCCAATTTTTTTTTAAAAAATAAAGCACACATCTCCTTGTTTTCACATTAACAGACTGATTAAACAAAAAGGTATTTGCCAGCTGATGAAAACAGAGCAGGAAGGGTGCCAGCTTAGCCTTCTGCAGGGAAGGGGACTACACACAGGCTGCACTTTGCCCATGTCCATTCCTATTCTAGAAGGTCCCTAATCTGTTTGTCAAGCATTTTCAGGAGGCTGGTGAGGCCATGGTAAGGACTGAGGAGAAGATGGAAAAGTTCACATTCACCTGTACATGTCTTAACCTGGATATAAAACATATTTACACATGAGGAGTCTACATATCCTGCAGTAAAATGCAAGACTGCTGACTCTTATTTTATTATTGACCCATTTCACATATACAAGAGATATGATAACAGAGCCTAGTAAACTGGTATCATGTGCAATCCATACAATTAGAATTTTAAATGGGAAACAATGAATAACAAATTTTCAGAGTTCCATATACAAAATAACCATACCATAATTGGTATTGACTCAGTAACCTTCTGGCATCCCCTTGAGCAGCAACTACTGCAAGTATTTCTTGTACCTGTTGGACAGTTTTTTTTATATTGGCTTCTAGGAATTTTGGTCCATTCCTTCTTATGGAACTATTTCAGCTAAGTTACAGTTGAAAGTTTCTTTGTATATAGAATTTACCTCAGGTCTTGCTGCAACACCTCAATGGCATTTATGTCCAGAGTTTGAACAAACTATTTTTAAACATGGAAGCTGTTTTTCTACAGCCATTCTACGATAGATATGTTTGTATGTTTAGGATCATTGTTGTGTTGAATTATCCACTTATGGTTGAGCATTAAATCTCAGGCAGATCATCTGACACTCACTTTCAAAACCTTTTGATACATTGCAGAATTCACTGAGACTGCCAGAAATAGTGCACATTAAATTGAGGCACTGCCCTGGCTCAGTGCTAGGGAATCATGGGAATTGTATTTTTTTCTGAGACACTGAACCTTCTCTGTCAGAGAGCTCTGGTGCCATAATAAATTACAGCTCCCATGATTCCCTAGCACTGAGCCAGGGCAGTGCCTCGATTTAATGTGCACTCTTTCTGGCAGTCTGCAAAGGCCCATAGTTGTTTCCATCATGACAACCTGTCCACGTCCTGAAGTAGCAAAGCTGCCCATATCATCATATTCCCACCACCATGCTGATAATTCAGTCTACATTCTTCTGTTCAAATTCACTGTTGTGTGGTTTTTGGAGATTGGGGGAATTCAATATTTCTCATTGAGTCCCAAAAGTTCTACCTTGGCTCATCTGTCTGAGGAATATTGTAAAGTATGTCCTAGGATCATCTATGTGGTCTTTAGTAAAGTGCAGATAAGCAGCAACATTCTTTTTTCTCCTTTCTTTCTTTTTTAGAGAGCAGTGGTTTCCTCCAGGCTATCTTCCCACAAACACCATTATTGTTCAGTCTTTTCTAGTCACTGAGTAATGAATGTTAGCTCCTTTAATTTTACTCTGGGGTTCTTTATGACTTCCTGGATAACATGACTGTTCTTGTGAATATTTTGGTAGGATGACTGCCCCCCAGTAAAGTATCTGTGGTCCTCAGCTACCTTTGTTTCTAGACTGTGTCTGCATGACAGTGGACTGGTACAGCCTGAAATCCTAAAAAAATGTGTTAGTAACCCTTTCTAGACTGGTGAGCAGCTACAACTGCTTTTCTGAGGTCCTCTGACATGTCTTTTAATAATGGCACAATCATATTTCCATGCAACCATATAATGAAATCAAACTCAGAAAGTGACTGATCCATTTATAAAAGGGATGGGAAGTGTTAGGGATTAGTGGGCTGCACTGACCCTTCAAGAGGACTTAGAAAGCCACACCTCTGACATATGATTAAAAAAAATCATTTTGTGCCCCCCCGGTCATCTAGGAATAATGGGGATCATTTTCAAGAAGTTTCTCTGCAACCCAAGAGCTTCTGTGCCACCTCCTGCTAGAAAATACAACTTCTTTTTTTAACCACAAAAAAATTAGTGAAGTTGCCCTCATGCTATCTATAGGGCATTTGAACATTTTTTAAAAACAAAATTTGTATATTAGGGAACACTAAAGGCATACTTTCCTTACCACTGATGTATAAAGTGGGAGTCACCCAAACTCACCCCTGCAAACCTACCAAATTAATTAAGCCTAATGATCCTAATTATTCCCTTTAACTGAGGGCTCATCTGCACTGGTTAAAAAGAACAGAAAGACCCAGGTTTTGTTCCTGATCTTTCTAGTTGTTGTTTGTTTCTTTTTGGAGGTCCATATGATATTTAGCTTGTTCCAGAATATTTTATGTCACTTCCTGGTATAATGAGAGACATTTTGAACCAACTCCTGCAGTTGGTTTATTTTAAGTCTGTATTTTCCAGAATGAAAAAGATCATTTTATTGGCCATCTGTTTCTGCTGCCTTTCTTTTAGCTCCTGAGACAGCCCGTCCCATGATGAGGTTTTCAGTGACATTTGTTGGTGTGCAGGATGAAAATCAGTTTCTGAAAAGTTTCACAAACCTGGATGTGACATGTGACCGGGGGAGGAGGAAGGGCTGGAGTGCGGG